TATATAGAGTGTCCCAATAATCATGGTACAACCAAAAGGAAAATAATTTCCTTCGAATAAATCAATTTAAAATGTAAAACTAAATTTTCACATATAGGATATAGTTTTAAAAATATGACTTTGAAGACGTGGGTAGCATCAGCATTTGTTTTTTATCTTTTCTACTAAGTATCTGAGAAGTTTCATAAACGAGAATAACGCAGTTACCGTTGAAGATATAGTTTATTGATGTAGAAAGCGAATCATGACATTGCTCATGTTAGCAAATACAAACGCGAACGGAAACCGTACGCAGGAAGATTCGTTAGTTACAAACATAGATTCACAAACACTTCAAAAGATTGTATTTTTTTCAAACGAAGCATTATGTACTTCATTTTTTAAATTGGACTTATTGTTTTTATAAGCACATCTTTTGCAATTATGTTATAATTACTGAGACTTCGTATAAAGAAGTTAAAACTACTTCACATGCACAATGGGCTTTAGACATAAAATACATACAATAATTATATTTGTTGTTGAAATGTGTAAAAGTATGTGAAAATCTATGAAAAAAAACAAACTGTATTTATTGAAATATTCAAATGTACAGAGAAACTAAGTATCCGTCAGAAGAACGGCGGGTTTGCGTCACAAACTTTGCATATGCGCAGCGAGCGTGCATAATCTTACTCTAATTGCCCCAAATTAAATTATGCAGGAGAGAAGCATTAAAAATAAGTACGAAGATACTTTCAAAAGCATTGTTATGTTTCTGTCTTAGAGATAAGAGGATATGTTGCTAGCTTCCTTATTAAAAAGCATTCACGTACAGTATTTTTAATTTTTTCCTTTTGTGATAATGATTTTAATCAAAAACTGGATACAAAAGACAGATATAGATGCTACTTGTAATATAATCATATTACAGATTAATTAATACAGTGCCACGTTAAACTACCGTTGGATTAAGAAATGTTACGACATATTTCGAAACAGAAAACTAAGAGTATTTCGAATTGGAAAGGAGTTAAGATTAACGAGTACTTAAAATGCTATTTTTATTCGATTTCAAATAATCACCTGTGATTATTAATTAGAAACTTTATGAAGTCATCAATCACACTGTGCTTATTTGAATTTTAATTGTCAATTAACGACAATTAAAGATCATAAAGGATAAGTTTTTAATCGAATCAACTATCATATTTGGATCATTGTCAGTTACGTATAATCGGATTAAATATTCCCTACTTTTACAACGCTTACGACTTATTATTAGTTAGTTCCTCTTGTGTTTTTTGTCTTTCGGCCTGCTTTAATTTCACTACACCCGAGATCACGATACTGTGCTACGTACACGGTTAATTATCATCGTTGTAGGTCATTCTGACGAAAGCATACTTGACTAATGAAAGTCAAGTACCTGTGACCGATGGGTCTGGGTTGGGTGCACCGCAGGAGCTAGGCGTGCACACCTGTGCAGCCCTGTAATAAGCATTGAAAAGATTGGCGCCTATTATAAGTGAAAGTATTCACACAGGTGTCAGAATATAAAAGAAACAAAATAACCACATGTAAAAATATCCATTAACGTAGAAATGTTTACTGTATTATGATGTACTTTATGTTGAAGATGAAAATAATGCAGTAAAATTAACGTTGTTGTAATGATTACGATTAATCTGTACGCTTTATCGAAGACTGCTTATAATAATGCTTTGAACTATATATATGTAACGATATTATCTAATAAACCTTTAGTAAATTAACCTTGTACAGGTTTAATGAAAATAAAGATCATCGAATTCTGGCTGTGAATAGAGAATATAACAATCAATGCTGGGAAAAATTGTATTTAACTATAATTGTATTTAATTAAAATGGATAAATAGCACATTTATTCAATATTCGAAAGGCTGTATCGGTTCGTATAAATGATTAAACGGTTCAAAAAGTGTTAAGAATCTCGGTCATGTTGGTAACTGAGTTATTAATTATTTCTTATCACGTAATGATAAAGTTATCAATATTTTCTGTATTATTGCATTTTGTTTCGCTTTAACAGCATCTAACAGCATTTGAAACATTAGATCCCAGGTACTAATACGTAAGACTACATGTTTAGAAGTAAAAGATAGTGCTTGTGAGTGTAAACTGCAGTCAATCACTTTATAGGACATTGTTTGCGAGAAGATTGTTATTTGTCATAATAGATGTAAGATAAATGTATGTACAGTGGCAGCAAAAGCAGGAATAATGCAACGAGATCGTGTTGATAGTGATTTACAAGGTTAATATTTGACTATCTCATTCAAACTCGACATTGTGTACGAACTGCTAAACAATCGCCTTTTGATGCTAATGTTTTTACACAATTAATAATGATTATCTCTGTATTATTTTGTATAAATGTATTTGTGAAATTAACAATGACATCGATAATACTGTTTCACATGTTTGTGCCGAAACCTCGTAATATAAAATCGACGCATAAGGAATAGAGTCGACAGATGCTGTAACTTTGAAAATCGAGTTGCGAAGAACTACAGCTGAAGGGAAACATTTAATGAGAAAGGTCATTAAACCAAAGAAAGAACGTAAAATATCGTTGTACTCTGCAAGAATCTTTCCCACATGGCAATTAACAAGCGAATGGCAAGGTAGAATGTGTTTTAGTCCCGGGGATTAACCATGTTTAGGAAATACCGAAGTAATACTAATGTTTTTCTGCTGCAATCAAATGCGACTGGTTTACGTAACATAGTCGTTGTTTTTGCATATATTTCCTCTCCGAGCGGTTTGCTTGATCTCAACTTTATAGACATAGATTACACGTATCT